TAAAATATTTGGTTTTGCTGGCACTCTTATTAATAACTAATTATAAAAACAGCAGGATACATAACTAGTTATTTTGCATCAGATATAATTTTTATATTATTCTGGAGTCTTCTATATTAAACACAGAGTCTACTAAAATAATTAATATCATAAAGGAAACCTTGAACCACATTTTGATAATTTTGCATGACCTCTTGATGCATATTATCACTGAATCTGAGCATTTGAAACTACATGTGATATGGTTCTTTTGGTGATACTGAGAAGAAGCCTGTAGATCTAAGTCTTAATTGGCTTTCTGAACATTTCACAATTTTTTTTATCTCTAATTCTTGAATTATATTTACTCAAGACTTAAAGTGTATATGTATATATCTTTCACTGATTTTTTAAAGGCCTTTTGATTACTTACAAGTACCTTACTATTAACTCATAAATCACATACATTAGTTAAGCTTCCTGTATTTATACAGGTACATGCAATTTTCATCTTTTTTAAATGTTCAGTTAACACTTCAAATGCATAATTACATTATACATTATACATTATTTATAAGAACAAATCTGTCCAACAGCTTAAAAATATATAAATGTATTTCTTAAACAATTATACATATACAAACATTTTCACTATTTATACTCCTATGTTATGTAAGCCCAAATTTGAATGAAATTTTGCAATGAAGTGAAAGACGAATAACTATTTTATTTACTGATAAGCACAAATGGAAGTAACAATAAGATTTGCTTTATTAATTATAATAGTTCATTTAAGTTTTTCTGGAACTTATATAAAACTTTGCAATCTTTTTCTCTACATATTTCATTTATACTACCCTTTTCCTTATAATGGTTACTAATTATTTAACCTTTACATTGCAGTACTCACTGGTGCTGCATATATGCTTGCTTTGTAATGCTACACACATGCCACTTTCCTGATAATCACATGGTCTGCTTCTACTACTGTTCAGATAAAACTAGTGATACCCTAAATTTTTGGATAGAGGCTATAACTAAAATTTAACATAACAGCCTGTACTTTCTCTTAATTCAGCACTAAGAAAAAGCTACAGCAAATACCGTTGGTCATTCAAAGTTGAAAATGATAGCTAAAATTTAAAATATTTGAGGAAAATATTCAGTTTATGATGTATTTTATAACAAAACAGTACAATATGACTTTAATCAAATTATTAAATACATGGTGGTTAATATAAACTTTCAACTACTAATCTGATTTGCCTTTTTATCATTCTATCAAATGTCAAGCACAATAAAACCTTAGTGATGCTATTAATATTGTCCTTGAAAATTCAGTAATGTGTGTGTCTAGGCATGCACCTAAGTTTTACACAAATTTATTTTACAGTGATACAAGGTGTCCTAGTTTTTCAAGGACTCAGTTCAGTTTGAGAGGCAATCTTGTTTTGAAATGGAGCAGCTTGATAATACATCCCTCAGGGCATACCCAACTACACCATAAGATATTTTATTCATTAAATTTTATAGTGTGTGTGTGTGTGTGTGTGTGTGTGTATATATATATATATATATATATTTCTTACTTACTACCTTACTTATTAGTAACTAAACGTAAACGTACAACGTAGACTACTAGTGTAGAACGAACTAATTAAGTTGGTTACTAAATAAATTATT